GGACCCCTTCTGGTTGGCACATCACAGTCATTGTCTTCCAAGGCCAGAGTGGCAATATCAGCTGCTGCCAATCAGAAGGCCGCAGTTTTGTATGCTCCATGACACCAAAGGAAGTGCCAGTCACCTGATAAGCGGTGATAAGTGCCAAGGAGCACCCCACTTGCTTCAATTGAACCCAAATCCAAAAATGTGCATGGCGTATTCATCATCTGAGATTACTCGTTCTAGGTATACAAAGTGTTTTCATTGGAGATCAGCCCATTTGGACATGGTGGATATTTATTTATTTTGTAGGGTCAGTAACTCCCAGAGCTGTTGCAACCAATCGGATCCAATGTTCATACATTCCCGGTGCGGTTTGGTTGATATTTGGCTTCGATGGGGTAATAGATGAGACACATTTGATAAATCTGACTTTTCTGATGCATTGCCATCACTCTCCGTATTCTCTTTACAAGTCCACAGCCTGCCTGAGCCCTGGCACAAGAATCAGTCCGTGTTACCACTCCAAGTGCCATCCTGACCTCTGGCAACGGTCCCCTCTCCTCTGTGCCCATGTCCGGGTCTGAGGTTCTGGCCTTCAGACGGCTCTGCCTGCTGGGAAGAATTATAGCTGCAGCGGGTGAGCATGGACTTAGATGACATGTGCCTCCTGCTTCCCATATGCCATCACGTATGTTTTGTTGTCCTTCACAAGGGCAGAGCCAACACTAAATGATACTGCCGACCATTCAACGTCTTACCAAATGACGGCTTCACGGCAAATGACCTGATAGGAGATGAAGGGCGCCGGATATCGAGCCCACATCCTTCAGGGTGCCAGAACCAGCAACGTACCAGCCATACATCCAACATTCAAAGGTTCTTCTTCCAGTCCCAGCTCAGTGTAGGGTCTTCCAGGAATTCCTCACCACCTTCCAGAGCTCTATATAAGGATCTCTCGGGTCTCCTCCTCCCGTGTCTGGATCTCTATATAAGGACATCACAGGTCTCCTCCTCACCTGTGTCTGGATCTCTATATAAGGAGATCACAGGTCTCCTCCTCACCTGTGTCTGGATCTGTGTATAAGGACCTCTCAGGTCTCCTCACCTGTGTCTGGATCTGTGTATAAGGACCTCTCCGGTCTCCTCCTCACCTGTGCTTGGATCTGTGTATAAGGACCTCTTTGGTCTCCTCCTGGCCCGTGTCTGGATATGTGTATAAGGACCTCTCAGGTCTCCTCCTCACCTGTGCCTGGATCTGTGTATAAAGACCTCTCCGGTCTCCTCCTCACCTGTGCTTGGATCTGTGTATAAGGACCTCTCCGGTCTCCTCCTGGCCCGTGTCTGGATCTGTGTATAAGAACCTCTCAGGTCTCCTCCTCACCTGTGCTTGGATCTGTGTATAAGGACCTCTTCGGTCTCCTCCTGGCCCTGTGTCTGGATCTGTGTATAAGGACCTCTCAGGTCTCCTCCTCACCTGTGCCTGGATCTGTGTATAAAGACCTCTCCGGTCTCCTCCTGGCCCGTGTCTGAATCTGTGTATAAGAACCTCTCGGGTCTCCTTCTCACCTGTGTCTGGATCTGTGTATAAGGACCTCTCCGGTCTCCTCCTCACCTGTGCTTGGATCTGTGTATAAGGACCTCTCCGGTCTCCTCCTCACCTGTGCCTGGATCTGTGTATAAGGACCTCTCAGGTCTCCTCCTCACCTGTGCCTGGATCTGTGTATAATGACCTCTCCGGTCTCCTCCTGGCCTGTGTCTGGATCTGTGTATAAGGACCTCTCCGGTCTCCTCCTCACCTGTGCCTGGATCTGTGTATAAGGACCTCTCCGGTCTCCTCCTCACCTGTGCCTGGATCTGTGTATAAGGACCTCTCAGGTCTCCTCCTCACCTGTGCCTGGATCAGTGTATAAGGACCTCTCCGGTCTCCTCCTCACCTGTGCCTGGATCTGTGTATAAGGACCTCTCCGGTCTCCTCCTCACCTGTGCCTGGATCTGTGTATAAGGACCTCTCCGGTCTCGGATTTGGTTGACTTGACATGGATATCCTTGATGGCTTTTATCCCCTCGATGTCCTGGCTTAGTACGGGGTGAGTTACTCCGGGAACCATGAACGGTACGAAGTGCTTTTGGCCGGCTCGATATTTCCTAATTAATTCTCAGCCTCAAGAGCCGAGATTAGAGAAAAGAAGCAAATTATAGTTCAGCCGTGCGTGGCGTGTATTGACTGACACGTGTGTGAGCGTGGCCAATCCTCCTCCTTTCATGTTCCCGGCTCAGAGCTGGGTGGCTGAGACAGGTTCACTCGTAGATACATTTTACAACTTGTGTTGGTGATCATCACTCCTTCCCTTTGTACCATCACCTTCCTGTGTCCTGCTTCTGACCTTCCATCTACCTCTGTCCATCTCTGCTCTTCTCCCGGCCTTTCCTTCTCCCGGCCTTTCCTTCTCCCGGCCTTTCCTTCTCCTCCCGGCCTTTCCTTCTCCCGGCCTTTTCTTCTCCCGGCCTTTTCTTCTCCCGGCCTTTTCTTCTCCCGGCCTTGCCCCCTCCCGGCCTTGCCCCCTCCCCCGGCCTTGCCCCCTCCCGGCCTTGCCCCCTCCCGGCCTTGCCCCCTCCCGGCCTTCCCCTCTTCCCCTCTCCCGGCCTTCCCCTCTTCCCCTCTCCCGGCCTTCCCCTCTTCCCCCTTCTCCCGGCCTTGCCCTCTTCCCCTCTCCCGCCTTGCCCTCTTCCCCTCTCCCGGCCTTGCCCTCTTCCCCTCTCCCGGCCTTGCCCTCTTCCCCTTCTCCCGGCCTTGCCCTCTTCCCTTCTCCCGGCCTTGCCCTCTTCCCTTCTCCCGGCCTTGCCCTCTTCCCTCTCCCGGCCTTGCCCTCTTCCCCTCTCCCCGGCCTTGCCCTCTTCCCTTCTCCCGGCCTTCCCCTCTTCCCCCTTCTCCCCCTTCTCCCGGCCTTCCCTCTTCCCTCTCCCGGCCTTCCCCTCTTCCCTTCTCCCGGCCTTGCCCTCTTCCCCTCTCCCGGCCTTGCCTCTTTCCCCTCTCCCGGCCTTGCCCTCTTCCCCTCTCCCGGCCTTGCCCTCTTCCCCTCTCCCGGCCTTGCCCTCTTCCCCTCTCCCGGCCTTGCCCTCTTCCCCTCTCCCGGCCTTGCCCTCTTCCTTCTCCCGGCCTTGCCCTCTTCCCTTCTCCCGGCCTTGCCCTCTTCTTCCCTTCTCCCCTTTGCCCCTTTGCCCTTTCCCTTCTCCCGGCCTTCCCCTCTTCCCTTCTCCCGGCCTTCCCCTCTTCCCTTCTCCCGGCCTTGCCCTCTTCCCTTCTCCCGGCCTTGCCCTCTTCCCTTCTCCCGGCCTTCCCCTCTTCCCCTCTCCCGGCCTTGCCCTCTTCCCTTCTCCCGGCCTTGCTCTCTTCCCCTCTCCCGGCCTTCCCCTCTTCCCTTCTCCCGGCCTTGCCCTCTTCCCTTCTCCCGGCCTTCCCCTCTTCCCCTCTCCCGGCCTTGCCCTCTTCCCTTCTCCCGGCCTTGCCCTCTTCCCTTCTCCCGGCCTTGCCCTCTTCCCTTCTCCCGGCCTTGCCCTCTTCCCCTCTCCCGGCCTTGCCCTCTTCCCCTCTCCCGGCCTTGCCCTCTTCCCTTCTCCCGGCCTTCCCTTCTCCCGGCCTTGCCCTCTTCCTTCTCCCGGCCTTCCCCTCTTTCCCCTCTCCCGGCCTTGCCCTCTTCCCCTCTCCCGGCCTTGCCCTCTTCCCTTCTCCCGGCCTTGCCCTCTTCCCTTCTTCCCCTCTCCCGGTCTTCCCCTCTTCCAGCTCTGGCATATTCAGATGCTTCATTTGCATGTTGTATCCTCAAGTACTAGTACCCCACTCCTCCAGGACCCCCTTCACCCCTCTTTCCTCCTTGGCCTCATCATCATATAGTTAGCTTATTAGTACCCTCGTTCAGCAGATCCCCCACACAGTAGTAACCCCCCACTCAGTAGTATCCCCCACTCAGTAGTACCCCCAGCTCTGCTGATCCCCGCTCAGTAGTAACCCCCAGCTCTGCTGATCCCCGCTCAGTAGTAACCCCCAGCTCTGCTGATCCCCCACTCAGTAGTATCCCCCACACAGTAGTATCCCCCACACAGTAGTACCCCCAGCTCTGCTGATCCCCGCTCAGTAGTACCCCCAGCTCTGCTGATCCCCGCTCAGTAGTACTCCCAGCTCTGCTGATCCCCACTCAGTAGTAACCCCCAGCTCTGCTGATCCCCCACTCAGTAGTACCCCCAGCTCTGCTGATCCCCCGCTCAGTAGTAACCCCCAGCTCTGCTGATCCCCCACTCAGTAGTAACCCGCTGAACCTCCTCTCTCTGGTTCCCGCTCACCTCCTGCTAAATTGCTCCTGCACTGCTCACCATGTGTGACATTGCTAGTTCCTCCTGCTCCGGTCCCCCAGCTCTGCTGATCCTCTGCCACTCAGTCCTCTCTACGGTCCCCACTCATCTTCCTCTGCAACGTTCCCATGTTGCACATCATGTGTCTCATCCGCTAGTTACTCTGCTCCAGTCTGGATCCACACTCCACCCCCAGATGTGACGTCTGCACCAGACACCCCCAGAATATATACACATGAACCGGGAGTGACTGCTGATGGCGTCTCTCCAGTTCCGTTGTTGGTCTTGCAGTGCATCCTGGGATATCTCATACCTCCAAAACAGATCAAAGCTAAAGCTGAAGGAAAGCCGCTCAGAAGCTGGAGGTGCTGTGAGCGAGCGTTGTCATAGACTTCTATGGAGGCTTCAGAGATGCTGTGAAGCAGCAAGAACGTGACATGGGGTATAGTTGGTGAAGCAAGGTGTGAACAGGACAGTAAGGTGACCATTATATTTAGTGACGGGGCTTCGATTGGCATTCAGAGGGCTTTAAAAACGCGTGCCCAATGCCACATTTTGAAGCCACTGTGAACAAACCCTTAGGGTTGCCCCAGTCCTGATTGTCATCCTCTGTTTAGGCCTCCTTCACAAACTTTGCTGACCACTTGTGTCTTTTTTTTGTTTTTCAGCTTGCGGCGTGATGGCTACACCGTCCAGGTGAACGTCAACGATTATCTGGACATCTACTGTCCGCACTACAATGAGACTATGGCCGACCATAGGATGGAGCAATACATTCTTTACATGGTGAACTATGAGGGCTACAGGACCTGCGACATCAGCCAGGGCTTCAAACGTTGGGAATGTAATCGCCCGCACTCGCCCCACAGCCCCATCAAATTCTCCGAGAAGTTCCAGCGGTACAGCGCCTTCTCCCTGGGCTATGAGTTCCACGCGGGCCACGAATATTACTACATCTGTGAGTACAATCTTCGCTCGGTGGGAACGAGACGCCTTGTTTTATTTTGTATGTCAAAATGTGTCCTGAAGGATGAAATAGAAATAGTTGTGTGAATTCCCTCCGAACCTCGTTCACACGTTCCTGTATGAAAGATATGACCCCCCCCCCCCAAAAAATCCTGAACACAACGCCATCCCCGGGACTTCTCTCATGCTGCCATGCCAGCTATTGTTCTGTTATCAGCCATTAGTGGCGTCTGGCATCGTTCCTCCATGACGTCCAGCAGAACACCAGAGGTTTGCAGAACATCGACAATCCACAGCATGACTGTACTGACAGTGGAGGAGGTCGTGCAGGTTTCTCATGGATGTTTCCACGTTCTGGTCTAAGACTGCCCGGGGTCATTTACCGACCTTTTATTTATCGATCTTCTGTCCTAATAATTCACTGAAAGGTTTTATAGTTAGCTATTTCTGCCCAGAAACCATCAACACGGCTGATCCGTTCTAAGAATGAGGAACCCGAATGTTACAAAGACCAGAGTGAGATGCACCAATCCATGCCTGGACCATCACCAGCCCTTCACTGGTCTTACCCGTCCTTCACCAATCCATGCCTGGACCATCACCAGCCCTTCACTGGTCTTACCCGTCCTTCACCAATCCATGCCTGGACCATCACCAGCCCTTCACTGGTCTTACCCGTCCTTCACCAATCCATGCCTGGACCATCACCAGCCCTTCACTGGTCTTACCCGTCCTTAACCAATCCATGCCTGGACCATCACCAGCCCTTCACTGGTCTTACCCGTCCTTCCCCAGCCCATCACCAATCCATGCCTGGACCATCACCAGCCCTTCACTGGTCTTACCCGTCCTTCCCCAGTCCATCACCAATCCATGCTTGGACCATCACCAGCCCTTCACTGGTCTTACCCATCCATCCCCAGTCCATCACTGATCCATCACCAGCCCTTCACTGGTCTATCACCCGTTCTTCCCCAGTCCATCACCAATCCATGCCTGGACCATCACCAGCCCTTCACTGGTCTTACCCGTCCTTCCCCAGTCCATCACCAATCCATGCTTGGACCATCACCAGCCCTTCACTGGTCTTACCCATCCATCCCCAGTCCATCACTGATCCATCACCAGCCCTTCACTGGTCTATCACCCATCCTTCCCCCCAGTCCATCACCAATCCATGCCTGGACCATCACCAGCCCTTCACTGGTCTTACCCATCCATCACCATCTCTTCACTGGTCTATCACCCATCCTTCCCCAGTCCATCACCAATCCATGCTTGGACCATCACCAGCCCTTCACTGGTCTATCACCCGTTCTTCCCCAGTCCATCACCAATCCATCACCAGCCCTTCACTGGTCTATCACCCATCCTTCCCCAGTCCATCACCAATCCATCACCAGCCCTTCACTGGTCTTACCCATCCATCCCCAGTCCATCACTAACCCTTCACTGGTTTTACCCATCCATCCCCAGTCCATCACCAGCCCTACACTGGCCTTACCCATCCATCACCAGTCCATCCCCAGTCCATCACCAGCCCTTCACTGGTCTTACCCATCCATCACCATCTCTTCACTGGTCTATCACCCATCCTTCCCCAGTCCCTCACCAATCCATGCTTGGACCATCACCAGCCCTTCACTGGTCTATCACCCGTTCTTCCCCAGTCCATCACCAGTCCATCACCAATCCATCACCAGCCCTTCACTGGTCTATCACCCATCCTTCCCCAGTCCATCACCAGCCCATCCCCAGTCCATCACCAGCCCTTCACTGGTCTATCACCCGTTCTTCCCCAATCCATCACCAGTCCATCCCCGGTCCATCACCAACTCTTCACTGGTCTATCACCTGTTCTTCCCCAGTCCATCACCGATCCATCCCCGGCGCATCACCCGTCCTTCCCCAGTCCCCATATCTCCGCTCTCCATACACAACCAGACATTCCACACAATCCGTATTGGAGATTCATCTCATTCGGAGGAGTTTCCAATCGATGTGTATGGAGGAGTAACACTGGACAACAGCCAACGATCTATGTGTTGTGTGTGAGATCGATGTGTGGCGTGTGAGATCGATGTGTGGCGTGTGAGATCGATGTGTGGCGTGTGTGAGATCGATGTGTGTCGTGTGTGAGATCGATGTGTGTCGTGTGTGAGATCGATGTGTGTCGTGTGTGAGATCGATGTGTGTCGTGTGTGAGATCGATGTGTGTCGTGTGTGAGATCGATGTGTGTCGTGTGTGAGATCGATGTGTGTCGTGTCAGAGATCGATGTCAGAGATCGATGTGTGGCGTGTGAGATCGATGTGTGGCGTGTGAGATCGATGTGTGGCGTGTGAGATCGATGCGTGGCGTGTGAGAGCGATGCGTGGAGTGTGAGATCGATGTGTGGCGTGTGAGAGCGATGCGTGGAGTGTTGAGATCGGTGTGTGGAGTGTTGAGATCGATGTGTGGAGTGTTGAGATCGATGTGTGTCGTGTGTGATATCGATGTGTGGAGTGTTGAGATCGGTGCGTGGCGTGTGAGATCGATGTGTGTTTCGGTGGAGGTTGGTTGGAAGTCTGATGCAGATTTGGAGTCTCCGGAGATTTCCAGCCACCGATTTCCAATCTTCTCTGTTTCAGCCCAACCGACCCACAACCACCGGCGCTCGTGTTTGAAGATGAAGGTGTTCGTGTGCTGCGCCACCAGTGAGTATTCGTCTGTTTCCGGGGTCCCATGTAGACGTATCCCTCCGTGGGGGGCTCCTCCAGGCCTTCTGCAGATTCGGTGTGGACCGCGCCCCCCCCCCCCCCCCCCCCCCATCGAGTCTCATTGCTGATATCTGCAATATTGGGGCCACAATGAGACTCCCGGCGGTCTGCAATATGGGGCCCGTTATGTGTGTGGCCCTTTTGGGGGGAGGGGCCTGTCATGTTCTGGTCCCTGGTAACGCTGTAATTTCCTCCCCACAGCGGCTCACTCAGGCGAGAAGCAATCCCCCACCCTGCCGCAGTTCACGATAGGACCCGAGGTGAAGATTGAAGATCTAGGTGAGTCCTGCAATGTGTGGCGTCTGCCGCCCTCTACAGGCCGGCCTGGGAATGTACTCTACAGCCGTGATCGAAGGGTTAAACGTTCGTCTTTGTACATGGGGGGGGGGGGCAAAACGTTCGTCTTTGTACTCGGAGGGCGAAACGTTCGTCTTTGTACATGGGGGGGGGGGGGCAAAACGTTCGTCTTTGTACGTCGGAGGGCGAAACGTTCGTCTTTGTACGTCGGAGGGCGAAACGTTCGTCTTTGTACGTCGGAGGGCGAAACGTTCGCCTTTGTACGTCGGAGGGCGAAACGTTCGCCTTTGTACGTCGGAGGGCGAAACGTTCGCCTTTGTACGTCGGAGGGCGAAACGTTCGCCTTTGTACGTCGGAGGGCGAAACGTTCGCCTTTGTACGTCGGAGGGCGAAACGTTCGCCTTTGTACGTCGGAGGGCGAAACGTTCGCCTTTGTACGTCGGAGGGCGAAACGTTCGCCTTTGTACGTCGGGGGGCGAAACGTTCGCCTTTGTACGTCGGAGGGCGAAACGTTCGCCTTTGTACGTCGGAGGGCGAAACGTTCGTCTTTGTACATGAGGGGGGGGGGCGAAACGTTCGTCTTTGTACGTCGGAGGGCGAAACGTTCGTCTTTGTACGTCGGGGGGGGCGAAACGTTCGTCTTTGTACGTCGGAGGGCGAAACATTCGTCTTTGTACATGGGGGGGGGGGGCGAAACGTTCGTCTTTGTACGTCGGAGGGCGAAACGTTCGTCTTTGTACGTCGGGGGGCGAAACGTTCGTCTTTGTACGTCGGAGGGCGAAACATTCGTCTTTGTACATGGGGGGGGGGCGAAACGTTCGTCTTTGTACGCCTGAGAGCGAAACCTTCGTCTTTGTACAAGAAATGGAAGTCTCTGTTGCCCCCGAGTGGTGGGATGAGGTATCACTGTATGTGCTGCTGATATACATGTATATATATGTACAGACGTCTCTGCTGCCCCCCTACATGCGGGGTGAGGTACTGCAGTAATCCCCTGATGATGTCACGTAAGGACATCTCTGCCGCCCCCTACAGGCGGGGTGAGGTACTGCAGTAACCCCTGATGATGTCACGTACGGACGTCTCTGCCGCCCCTACAGGCGGGGTGAGGTACTGCAGTAACCCCTGATGATGTCACGTACGGACGTCTCTGCCGCCCCTACAGGCGGGGTGAGGTACTGCAGTAACCCCTGATGATGTCACGTACGGACGTCTCTGCCGCCCCTACAGGCGGGGTGAGGTACTGCAGTAATCCCCTGATGTCAGGTACGGACGTCTCTGCTGCCCCCTACAGGCGGGGTGAGGTACTGCAGTAAGCCCCGGATGTCACGTACGGACATCTCTGCCGCCCCCTACAGGCGGGGTGAGGTACTGCAGTAATCCCCTAATGATGTCAGGTACGGACGTCTCTGCTGCCCCCTACAGGATGTGAGGTACTGCAGTAAGCCCCGGATGTCACGTACGGACATCTCTGCCGCCCCCTACAGGCGGGGTGAGGTACTGCAGTAATCCCCTAATGATGTCACGTACGGACGTCTCTGCCGCCCCCTACAGGCGGGGTGAGGTACTGCAGTAATCCCCTGATGATCATGTACAGACGTCTCTTGGCATCCATCCATGGATGGATGGACGGACAAACGCATCACCTGACGGTGTCCATGGCGTCCTAGAGAGCAAGGTGCGGAGTCTACGGCAGCCAATCACGGCTCCTGATAAAGGATGACCTCGTATAGAGTCCCGGGGGCGGGGGTTGGTTCGGGTCGGTGGGCTGTGGTCGCTCTTCCCCGATAAACGTCTGGAAGCATCCTATCCTACAAATATGGGTCACAGGAGGGGATTGGCACACATCAGCTGCCAGTCCGTCCGGTTGTCGGTTGTCACCCCACCGAAAACCCTGACAACCCCCCTGACCTATCCCCATATTTCGGGGACGTTCTGGATCCTCCGTTGGTCATGATATGGCATTTTTTTGGGGTGTTCCGGATCTTCTGTTAGGGAGGGGCATTTTTCGGGGGTGTTCTGGATCTCTTTGGTCATGATGGGGCATTTTTCGGGGGTGTTCTGGATCTTGTGTTAGGGAGGGGCATTTTTCGGGGGTGTTCCGGATCTCCCGTTGGTTAGGGAGGGGCATTTTTCGGGGGTGTTCTGGATCTTGTGTTAGGGAAGGGCACATTTTTTGGGGGTATTCCGGATCTCCCGTTGGTTAGGAAGGGGCATTTTTCGGGGGTGTTCTGGATCTTGTGTTAGGGAGGGGCATTTTTCGGGGGTGTTCTGGATCTTCTGTTAGGGAGGGGCATTTTTCGGGGGTGTTCCGGATCTTCTGTTAGGGAGGGGCATTTTTCGGGGGTGTTCTGTATCTCTTGTTGGTCATGATGGGGCATTTTTCGGGGGTGTTCTGGATCTCCTGTTAGGTAGGGGCATTTTTCGGGGGTGTTCTGTATCTCTTGTTGGTCATGATGGGGCATTTTTCGGGGGTGTTCTGGATCTCCTGTTAGGTAGGGGCATTTTTCGGGGGTGTTCTGTATCTCTTGTTGGTCATGATGGGGCTTTTTTCGGGGGTGTGTTCTGGATCTTGTGTTAGGGAGGGGAATTTTTTCGGGGGTGTTTTCCGGATCTTGTGTTAGGGAGGGGCATTTTTCAGGGGTGTTCCGGATCTCCTGTTAGGGAGGGGCATTTTTCGGGGGTGTTCCGGATCTTGTGTTAGGGAGGGGCATTTTTCAGGGGTGTTCCGGATCTTCTGTTAGGGAGGGGGGGCATTTTTTTCGGGGGTGTTCTTGTTCTTCTGTTAGGGAGGGACATTTTTCAGGGGTGTTCCGGATCTTCTGTTAGGGAGGGGCATTTTTCGGGGTGTTCTGGATCTCTTGTTGGTCATGATGGGGCATTTTTCGGGGGGTGTTCTGGATCTTGTGTTAGGGAGGGGCATTTTTCGGGGGTGTTCTGGATCTTGTGTTAGGGAGGGGCATTTTTTGGGGGTGTTCCGGATCTTCTGTTAGGGAGGGGCATTTTTCGGGGGTGTTCCGGATCTTCTGTTAGGGAGGGGCATTTTTTGGGGTGTTCTGGATCTCTTGTTGGTCATGATGGGGCATTTTTTGGGGGTGTTCTGGATCTTGTGTTAGGGAGGGGCATTTTTCGGGGGTGTTCTGGATCTCACACGATCTCTCTTCTATTCCAGGGAACTTTAACCCGGAGGTGCCGAAGCTGGAGAAGAGCATCAGTGGGACGAGCCCGAAGAGGGAACACTTACATTTGACTGTGGCCGTGTGTCTGATTTTAATGACGCTCTTGGCATCTTAGTTTTGCCGCCCCAGGACTGTTCTGGAGGCCGATGGAACTGGAATACTCTACGGATCGGACTCATGACTGCGCAGGTTGGGTCCCGGCGGGGCGAGGACTGGTGCTCCGTCCTCCATGTCTTTTTTTTCTACCTTCTTTTTTCAAGAGACTCGACCTGCGGCACTAGAACACTCCTCTGGTGGGCGCCACCACTGACAATGCCGGGGCCGAGCCGGATCTATAACCTGCTGCCAAATGACGGACTCCTCAGTTACGGCCCCGACGTGGACTTCTCACGGGCTGTTCTTACTTGAGTGCCTACACCCTGCTGTCCTCCGCGCCGGGAGCTGGGGGGTGACCACAGAACATCGAGTTAGTTGGCCTTACCGCCCCCTCAAAATGGTTGCGTTCGTCTCACGAGCCTGGGCACGCCCCCTCCCCCACCTTCCGCCCCAGAGGTCCGCCATCTTTGTGACATCCAGCTTGGAGAGGAGCCAATCTCATGGATTTAATGGGTCCCTTGTGCCTTGTGGCACCGTAGCAGATCTCCTATGCCACGTCCAGCAACCCCACCCACCCCTCTGGTGCCAGTTGTGTACTAACCTCCCCCCCCCCCCACCATGTATCAACTGACCACATGCAACCTTACCCTACTGCGATGGATGGACTGTATGCCAAGGCGTGGTCTTCTGGGTCCGCCCGCCTTCACCGCTCCTCATGTGGCTGCCATTGGAACCCGCCGCAAGACCAGCCAACTGACGACTTGTCACCCCAGAAGCTGTCTCCGGGAGTATGGAGGCCTTACGGAGGTCTCCTACAGAAACCAGACGGGATTTCATAACAAGCTGTGGGTTCTTCGGGGGGGTTCGGTCTTCTCACCGTGCCGGTCCGGTCTCATCATAAGACAAATGTAGCAGAACACGCAGTTGTGCCCCTCCCCCGACTCGGTGTCCAGGCGGCACGGCCAAACCACGGCCATCGGGACACAACTGGATCCCCTGGGTGTCGGCCAGCAATGGAGGGTGACCTGCAGATACTTCACATGGAACGTGACCCCAACAAATCCGCCATTGAACCCTTCATACCAGATAGTTATTGCACTAGGTGATTCCTCCTCCCCTCCCCCCCATACGGCGGTCACACAGTCCATGGCGCAGCATCCTATAAGGCAGGGTAACTGATAGAAATCCTGAAATATTCACATTCCATCCTTCTTCCATGACTCTACAAACATGCCAGCCTCGTGTTTTCGGATCCGGTGACACCAACACAAGTCACTGAATGAAGCCCCACACAGCTGGCCCGGAAAGCTAGAATCAACTTTATTGTTCCAGCTCATCAGTGAACACTCCACAACAGCACCTCCCACTGATGCCTTCCGCCCCCTACTGGGCCTGAAATGCTCTACAATTCAATCTCAGTACTGGACGAAACGCATCGGTGGGAGGTTCTGATGTGGAGTGTTCATGGACGTGCTGGAACAATAAAGTTGATTTTGGCTTTCTAGAACTGGGGGGTGTGGCTTTATTCATACACCGAAATATCGACCAATGATGAAAATTCGTTTTAATACTCGAACTGAAGTCACTCGCAGTTCTGCTTCCATTATTAGTTGGTGCATTTCGTTTGGAACCCCCATCTCTGGCTTGGACAGGCGGTTGCCGGGGGTGTCAGGCGGTGCCAGGGGTGTCGTGTCAGGCGGGTGCCGCGGGGGTGTCGTGCCGGATCGTCAGGCGGTGCCAGGGGTGTCGTGTCGGGGGTGTCAGGCGGTGCCCTATTTCATGTCTCCAGCCATCCCGTGCTGTTTGGTGTGGTGGAGTATTCTGGAGGAGGCCGGATCCCGGACCAGTCTCCAGAACCCCCGCGTTCCATTTCCTGAAGGAAGGATTTGATCCAGCTTCAGTTTTGTCTGATTGGACGGCATTCAGTCAGAGACTCCAGTGCTGACATGTCTGCAGGGAAACCTCCCCATTGTGGGAGGGGCCAAGACACCAACTACTGCAGGGAAATTTCACCATTGTGGGAGGGGCCAACCCACGGACTACCACAGAGAATCTCAACAGTGTTGAAGGAGTAGAAACACAAACTACTGGAATCTCATTGTGGGAGGGGCTGTGACCCACTACAGGGAAAGCTCCCCATTGTGGAAGGGGCCGAGACACAAACTACTGGGGGGGGGATCTCTTTGTGGGAGGGGCCTTGATCCAAGTTTGGTGCGTTTGGTGCAAATCTCCCCATTGTGGGAGGGGCCGCGACCCAAGTTTGGTGCGTGGAAATCTCCCCATTGTGGGGGGGGGGGGGGGGGCGCGACCCAAGTTTGGTGCGTGGAAATCTCCCCATTGTGGGAGGGGCCGCGACCCAAGTTTGGTGCATGGAAATCTCCCCATTGTGGGAGGGGCCGCGACCCAAGTTTGGTGCGTGGAAATCTCCCCATGGGAGTCTGGAAGAAACTGAAGCTGGAATATAATAGCATTTTCTTGCACACACAGGGCTGAATTGCAGGGGTGGAGTGTATCCATGCCCCTCCCCCCATCCATGGCACCTGGTGGGCGGTTGGGCGGTCGGTTGTGGCCCCATTGGTGCTTCCTGGTTATGCTGACCATTGTAAATATGAGGCAGAAATTACATCAGAGTTTTACCCCTCCCCCTAGAGCTGCGGCCAGGGGGAGGGGGCGACTGCAGGCGTCATGTGATTCCCCACGCAGCCACACCTGGGATCCCTCCATTGGAAGCGCAGAAGGCGGAGCCTGGACGGTGTTTGTGTATATACATATCTATCTCTAGCTGTATACAATTGTCCTGAACGAGCTGTAAATACATTGACGTGGTTGTCTTCTGTGAAGGCCGATCTCCACCTATGCAATGCACAGACACTTTTCAGACAATAAAGATCAGAACGACTTTTTACCCGCTGTCTCCGCTCTCCTTTTCCTCACCTAGACTGGGAATGAGATCCGAAGGGGCTCCTAGGGGGAGGGACCATCCGCTGTCTCTGCTCTCCTTCACCTAGACTGGGAATGAGATCCCAAGGGGCTCCTCGGGGGAGGGACCATCCGCTGTCTCTGCTCTCCTTCACCTAGACCAGGAATGAGATCCCAAGGGGCTCCTCGGGGGAGGGACCATCCGCTGTCTCCGCTCTCCCTTTTCACATAGACTGGGAATGAGATCTGAAGGGGCTCCTCGGGGGGAGGGACCATCTGCTGTCTCCCCTCTCCTTTTCACATAGACTGGGAATGAGATCTGAAGGGGCTCCTCGGGGGGAGGGACCATCTGCTGTCTCCCCTCTCCTTTTCACCTAGACCGGGAATGAGATCTTAAGGGGCTCCTCGGGGGAGGGACGACCCTGCAGACACACCCTCCCGGAGTCAGTTACATGGCTGGGTTTGTTTTTAGTGCAGGATGGACACAGCCTACATTCACAAGTGTGGGAACACAGAGAGTTCTTCTTACAGTCACGTTCAGACTTGGAACCCTCAGCTGGTATACAAGCCGGGCCCCCATTGGGATGTGTCACTTCCTCACACTGGAGCTAAAGGGGCTTCAAGAAGCGACCCCAAGCCGACTACACCCGGCTCCATATACCAGCTGAGGGATCGACTCTCACATCGAAGTGTCTGCAATACGAACTGTCTGTTCTGAACATCGGTCATATACAAGCTGATTCCAGTGTGAGATCTGAGGGCCCATTGGACAAAAATCCTAACATTTGGTAGAACCCATTTCTTGTGGTTGAGGACACGAGGCGTAATTCTCTGACCCCTTTCCTAAAGAAAGGGAGATCATAGAGGGGAAGGGCCTGTGTCCCCTGGTGGGGGTCGTTCTCTTAGCCGCACTGTACGGGACTCCGGGATCATTAGGCTTTGACCATGGGGCATCCTAAAACGGTCCAACTGAGGGGTGTGCGACCCCACATACTGGATCCAACACCCCCACATAGCACACGGGTCTAGGAGAGTTCGATGGAACTCAACAACCTTCACCGAAAACTGGCATCAGAGGAGGCCTGAACCTCCACCCCGAGACCCCGGAGAAACGTGTGGACAGAAGACGAGGTGTGGCCCTGGTCAGTCTGAGATGGTAGAGAAAGACGGGACCCCCATCCCCCACACCAGGGGTCTCCACACTTTGTCAACAAAGGGCCCAGTCCTTCAGACTTTAAGTGGGTCGGAGTGTGGCCAGTGGGAGTAAAACCTGCATAGCATCTGTACTTAGCAGGGAGTGGAATTGCAGCCCATCATTGGTGTCAGTGGGAGGAAAAGTGCTCCATCATTGGTGTCAGTGGGTGGAATAGTGCCCCATCATTGGTGTCAGTGGGAGGAATAGTGCCCCATCATTGGTGTCAGTGGGGGAATAGTGCCCCATCATTGGTGTCAGTGGGCAGGAATAGTGCCCCATCATTGGTGTCAGTGGGAGGAATAGTGCCCCATCATTGGTGTCAGTGGGAGGAATAGTGCCCCAACATTGGTGTCAGTGGCAGGAATAGTGCCCCAACATTGGTGTCAGTGGCAGGAATAGTGCCCCATCATTGGTGTCAGTGGGAGGAATAGTGCCCCGTCATTGGTGTCAGTGGGGAGGAATAGTGCCCCGTCATTGGTGTCAGTGGGAGGAATAGTGCCCCGTCATTGGTGTCAGTGGGAGGAATAGTGTCCCGTCATTGGTGTCAGTGGAAGGAATAGTGCCCGTCATTGGTGTCAGTGGGGGAATAGTGCCCCGTCATTGGTGTCAGTGGGGGAATAGTGCCCCGTCATTGGTGTCAGTGGGGGGAATAGTGACCCGTCATTGGTGTCAGTGGGAGGAATAGTGCCCCGTCATTGGTGTCAGTGGGAGGAATAGTGCCCCGTCATTGGTGTCAGTGGGAGGAATAGTGTCCCGTCATTGGTGTCAGTGGGAGGAATAGTGTCCCCGTCATTGGTGTCAGTGGGAGGAATAGTGTCCCGTCATTGGTGTCAGTGGGGGAATAGTGTCCCGTCATTGGTGTCAGTGGGGGAATAGTGCCCCGTCATTGGTGTCAGTGGGAGGAA